GGTTGAGCAACAAAGGCCACTTCACAGCATCTCTCTCTCTCTCTCTTTCTGACTTTATGGTGTTAGGATTATAAACATTCAGCTTTTAAATGTGGGTGCTGGGGAATCGAACTCAGATACTCCAGTGTGTGCTGTAAGCTACCTCCCCAATCCTTCCTAAGAATTTTTAAAGTCAGATGCATTGATGTTTGACCCTTCCCAAGAGGAAAGCTTTCAGTCTAGATGTGAGTCCAAGGTCAGTCACAGAATAGCAGCCTGGGTTACAGTAAGAAGTACACAGTGTATGGAAGAAGACAGACTCAGCTGTCATGCTGCCTGACCTCACTGTGCAAGGCTGGTCACCAGCCTTAACGTTTTTGGGCATCAACTATTTCACCTATTAAATCAGGCTAATTATGAGACTATAAAAACTGATGTTTGTAAAGTGTTTAGAACGGCACCTGGTATAAGGAGCTACAGTTATTTATTTGAGATGAGGCCATGCTGTGTAGCTCAAGCTGGCCGTAAACTCGCCATCCTCCTGCCTCTGCCTCCTAAGTGTTTGCAATTACAGGTACCAGCCACTTAACTATGGCAATGCAATTTTAACTGTCTATTTCTGTTAAGAAATTTCAGATACTTAATAAATTAGCCAAGTAAATGAGTGAATCTCAATATGCCTGCACACAGGAAGAAATCCAAGCATCAAATAGAACTTAAAAATATGTCCATTTTTGTCAGCTAGTCGTCTATGTGTAGAAAACACTTCAGTATGCATTCTCATTGCCTTTGGGTTGTAGGAGAGAACTGTTGGCCTCCCATACCTGTGATGTAATTTTGTAATCAATGGCCCTTGTTTCAGATAATAAACAAATTGCATTGTAAATGGTTGAGTAACTTTTGATATAAAATCTAACTACCTAACGACTTCTAATCTGGGGGTATCAAATTGGCATAAAGGGAAACAATGATTTAGAGAATGCAGATTGGTTGCTTTGCTGAGGCTGTCACTCCATTCCTAGGCAGAGAGCCAATAAAGCCACTGTCCTGCAGTCAGCTTGTAGGCATCAAGGCCAGAGACTACACTTGTGTATTAGCAAATGCCATTGCTTTTCAGCATTGCAAGACATTTGGGGAATTAAATACTGAGGACTCTTAGCATCTAAATACATTCTAACATTAACTAATGCATAATCTTTAAGTACACTGTGCTAGGTAGAAAGTAAAAGCTTCATATGGTGGCTTTCTGTCTTTTATGTAATATAATTGCTTGAAGATACACTTCAGTATGAGGCTTATAAAGGATATTATATTAGCTGCATCATTATTTTCATGAATGTTTAACACTCCAGGTGCTTTCTGCATCATGTCCATAGTAACTATAGCCTGACCAACACACTGACGAAGTGTGACACACCTCTTTTCTTATGTCATAACCTTAGTTTGTTCAACTACCAATAAGCATGACGCTTATTTAGCTTAGATTGTGGAAGCTGTAATGAAAATGCAGACAAAAGTTGGTTACTCCAGCCCAAGATGAGATCATGCTCATTACTGAATTGTGCATTAAAATTAAAAAATACGAAGAAGAAAACATGTTAGTTACTTAAGCTAATTTAGACTGAGGCCTTTGGTATTGTAAGAGGACATGTAACCGAGTTTATTCTCCACTAGTCTACACAGAATCAGCTAGCTACTCTTTCAGGCTAACTTCATTCCATGGAATGCTGGCACCTTAGAAGACTTTAGTAGTGGCTTCCCCAGCGACTTTCCCAGATCTTAAATGAAGAGAGATGTTCTCATCTCTTAATAAACCTAAAGAAAACAGTCAAGAAATCAGACTTCAAAATGTGTAATGTGTAGCCATGTCCTGTCACCTTCAAAAATTAAAAGAAAAAACCCTGATAAAAGTAAGATGTATATCTTGTGGCATGATTTGATATTTTGATATATGTATGTAGTGTACAAAGATTAAATTAAGCTATATCTGATTATCTCTCATTTCTTATGCGACTGTTAAGGTCTCTAACCTAATAATGTATTGTTATTGACTATACTCATTATGCTATGCAATAAACCACTAGACCTTGTTACTCTTGTCTAAATTTCATATCGTTGTCAAGTCTTGTCATTTTAAATTACTAAGTACTTGAAGATGGTGACATAAGCTTCTTATTTCATTTATTGAACTAACATTTGCTTTATTAAAACAGAATATGAACCTGAGTTCAAATTACATACTCATAAAAACTGAGCAGCTAGAGAAAACAATATAAAATTGATTCCATTTTTGTCTATAAAGTCTTCTTCGGCTGCTTGCTTTTCCAAATAAAACTAATTCAGAATTACTTAATCATCTTTAAAGTTATGTTTTATTTTATTATATTAAAATTTTTACTTTCTACAAACACAATATATATTTTAAACGTGTGAATTATTTTACCTACTCTGTTTGCTTGTAGTTTATATTCATAATGATAAACTGGTCAATTTTAATTCCCCCTTTCCCTCTCTAAATTTGAAGCATGTCTTCATATTTGGGATATAAAAATTACAGGTAGAGGAAAAGTAGTAAATAGAATGCCCTTCCATTCAGTTGTCATCAATAAAAGTGATGTGATCTCAAAAACAATACAGTGACATATCTAACCTCCTGTTGACCTCAGAGCAAGGCTGAGAAAACGGTGTTCTATTATACTGGCAGAACTCATTTAATACTAAAAACACTTTTGTCTACACTCAAGTTAAAAATTTTTCATTCTCCTGTGAAGTAAAATTAGAATAACGTGATTGGTCCCTGAAATGGAAAAGGCTACAGTTACTAATAATGGAATGGAGTTGAAATGATATTCCTGAGATTGCCAATAGGTTTGGTGAACTATTTTTTCCCCTATACCTTCCACTTTTAAGGGAAAATGCAGTTTTCCTCCTGCTGCAAAAGTATCAGATGCCTGCAGTATCCATGACACTTGTAAGCATTCAGTGGCCAGACACCACTACATAGCCTTCAAATGATGTGGCCCAGTGAAGCTGGGAGGTGTTGTCACGGAGACAGGCAGCTTGGTATCTTAGCCATCCACCAGGACAGAGCCAGCAGGTCCCAGCTGGTATGCTGATTCCAGACTAAGGTGGGATTTTGACTAAGGTTTTGCATTCTGGAAGTGAACTTCCCTGACATTGAATCCTAGGACACAGTTACATATAACAGTGCATTGAGCATGCCAGAAATTATTTCCTAGATCTAATGTACAAAGCTTATCTGCCCAAATTACTCTTAGGACAAGTTTAATCTTAAATTTATTATCCCCCTTGGGCTTCTGATTCACCCTAAATTATATGTACATATGTAAAGTCAGTGTCAAGAGTTTAACTATATGGTCTGAATCCTACACCATGTAGGATATGTGCTAAATGAATATAGTTATAGGTCATTCAGATATGATAAAATCTAACAGGGTGGACTGTTACTCACCAATACCCTTTGACATGGCAACATCTTCCCATCACAGTGAGCTTGTCATTTTGATCCTTAGACATATGAAACACACCTAAGATAACACATTCCTTATTTTGTTCCCACTTGGACTCAGGTGCTCATTGTTGAACCACTAGGGATTCGTACTTTGCTTCAGGTATAGACATCTTTTGACAACAGGATGCACAGAGCCATCTCTCACAGCTATTCAAAAAGTCCATCTACAGGATTTGTTACAAGTTCAAGGTTTCTCATCCCTCCAGTTGACCTTTACAGTAGTGCTGCCCAAGCAACTGCAGTTAAAATGTTATATTCCTTTAAATTTCTGTTACCTTACACTGGTAGAAACATCATGAAAAAAAAAAAAAAAATCCAAACAAACATCTACTGTCCTAAGGTTGCCTGGCAAGCTCCTCGTGCTCCAGCCATACATCTCTATGGGACTATGCCTTGGCAGATTTTCAAGCCGCATTCTTTTACCATGTACCACTTCAAGGTTTACTCTGGGCTCATTGGCCTGGCATCTGAAACCTGGATGCTTAATCATGAAAAGCAGGGGGTACCGTGCCTCTCCTCCAAAACCGGATATGAGCCCATTGCCAGGGCTCGTCTATAAGGGTTTTAAAATTGGAGCCAATCAAACATGATTGTCAGTTTCTGCAGTCTTTTCATCAGTGGTACTTGGCAAAAGCAGCATCTCTCTCTCTTCGGACACTAAAGGCTGTTTGTACCTGGAACAGACAGTTTGTGAATGGCAATAGCAGATAGCATCGCCAGTTCCCTAACTTCTCTGTGACCACCTGGAGGAGCAGGACACTGTTCCCAGCCCTTCTCAACCCCAAAACTGTCAATTCTTTCTTCTTGGGGACAAGAGTTAGCAGGCAAGGTTCATCTCCCCGCCCTGAAATGGTTAGCTTTGCTCTCCTTTTAAAAAGTGAAAAGGGTGGCTTTACGCAGGGTAGAAAAGTTTTCTTGGCCACAGGATGCCCATCGTTGCAGCTAACAACAGGAATAGACAAAGCCTTGGAGTTCCAGGCTATGAAGAGAGCAGACCACAGTCACAGAACAGAACCAAAACAAACAGTAAGAACTTGAGTGTCTGACAGAAAGATTATGAAGTTCTCTTGCTGGCACCGTCTGGGAGTCTCGCCCTCTCCTTGAACAAGTCTGCCTTGAGGTGCAGAATGAGATCTGACTGACAAATGTGTCCAGAGATGCTCTCCTAAACCTCCCAGGCCCTTGGGCCCCACCTACTTGCTCAGCTTCAGCCCTAGTCTGCAATTTCCAGTGTTTCCTGCCCTGAAGATTTGGGAACCTGGGCATTTAAGCGCTCAGGGATGCTGTTAGGCCAGGTCCCTCTTGCCCCTTCTGACACTCTGAAATCAACTTTCCCCACACCAGCTGAATTGTTTGAGATTGTTTTTCAATGTACAGGAGTCTCCTGCCCAGCCCACCCTGTTCTCCCCTCCTTCCTGCCCCCTCCCCTCCCTCCGGCCTCTCCAGCCCCCCCCCATCCCACCCCGCCTTCCTCTTTGTTGTCTCCTACCTGCTGGCCAGGCTCTGCCTGCAGTGCTGCCTGAAGGGCATCAGGTGGTAATTCATGGCGTCCAGCAGCAGCTTCTGGCAGACCGGGTCGGTGCGCATGAAATCCACGGACTGGACCCGCTCCACCAGCTCCGGGGCGGGGATGAGCGCGAAACGGAGGCGCTTCATGAGGTCGGGCGCATACTGCATGCGGGTCTCACGGTCGTGCTCCAGCCACAGCACGGACATCTGGAAAAGTGCCAGCTCCGACTCCACGGGGGGCGGCAACGAGTCCAGCAGGGCACGCATCTCCTCGAAGTTAAGCAACAGCACATCCTCCACCAGGTACTTGTTGGCCAGCTTCTTGGTCTCCTCCAGGCCGTGCAGTGCGGCGATCTTGCACACCTGCTTGTAGTTCTGCACCGAGATCTGGTCGTTGAGGAACTGAACGCAGAGCTTGGTAACCTGAGGGATGTGCAGAATCTTGCTGACCGACAGCACCTCCTCCACGGTGTCCAGGGAGAGGGTCACGTTGGCTGTGTAGAGGTATTCAAGCACCAGGCGCAGCCCTATGGACGAGCAGCCCTGCAGCACTAGGTTGTTGATGGCTCGGGGACTGGTCAGCAGCTTGTCGTCGGGGGAGGAGGAAGGAGTCCCGGGCTCCTCCTGTGGTGGCTGCTGCTGCTGCTGTGGAGGCTGCTGCTGCGGCGGCTGCTGCTGCTGGTCCTTGGGGGCCCCCAGGCCGTCCTGGCCGCCGACCCCTCCCCCGAGAGGGGGGTGGCTGGAGAAGAGTGATCGGAAGTACTGCGAGCAGGAGGCCAGCACGGCCTTGTGGCAGTGGAACTGTTGGCCCTGGGCCGTCAGGGTCACGTCGCAAAACAGCTGCTTCCTCCACAGCAGGTTGAGGCCGTGCAGCAGGTTGTCACTGTGGCTGGGGTCGAAGGTGGAGGTCCTGTCCCCGGATCTGGACATGGCGAGCTGACTCCGCGCACCTGGCTTTAAACCCTCCTCCAACCTGGCAGACAGGGGTGGGGGATGGGAGGGGGAGCAGGGTGGTGTAGGGGTGTGGGGTGTGGCCGGGGTGGGGAAGGGTGTGGAGGGGAGAGAGGAACAACAATCAAGGCCCTGCTCGGCTCCCTGTCTGTGCGCTCAGGACCCGACCCTATGAGGAAGGTGTGAAGGCGCGGGATCCCGAGCGCCTCCTGAAGGGTCCTCGTCTGGGGTCGGGGCGCCGGTTCTGCTCCCTGCTACCTCTTACACACTTCGCCCCTCACTTTCCTAAAAGCACCCAGGGTCCTCTCTTGGCAGCGACAGCGGTGGCAGCAGCGGCGGCAAAAGTGGAGGCTGAGGCCGTGACACCTCGTGGGCTCTTGTCCATGCCCGGCTGGATGAAGGGAAAAGCCGGGAGTGGGGAGTCAGGGGGTGCCCCGGGCTCAGACGCGACCGACAGCGGCGGTTCCAGGTCAACTGGTGCTGGAAGCTTTGCTTTTCTTAGTTGGCCCAGTTTGGGGGTGGGGTGGGAAAAGGGGGTGGGAGAGACAGGCTTGCGGGTGGGCGATTCTTAGCTCTCTAAAAGCTGGGGACACCTTCGATTTTCCGCGCTGCCCCGAAAAAGTCCTAGGCTCACAGTCTGAGGGAGGAGATAAAGCCCTTTCTTCTCCCGGGGAAGTGCAGCGGAGCGCGATGGGGACCCGCTCAGTGGACTCGGCAGAGGCGGGAGCTGTCCTTATCGATTCTAGCTCATTTCCCTCACCCCGGCGCTGCCCGCTTCCCCGCTTCGCAAACTGTTGGTTTCCCTCGCCGCCACCCCGTTTTACTAATTTCCCAGAGACGCCTTTAAACCTGGCCAGAGAATCCTTCCACCCCCACCGCCCACCCACACCTGACCTCCGGCTCCCTGCACCTTTGCTATTTCAGTGCACGGAAGTTCAGACATCTAGTTCCCCTTCCAGTGCGGGGCGGCACCGAAGATGACTGGGGGCAAGTTGGGGTGCCAGGCTGGATTTAGAGCAGGAGACTAGAGGCCAGGAGGGATTGGTGTGGCCCCATCTCCCTCCCGAGCACCGGGAGCAGTCGCTTTAACTGGAGCAACTAGGAGAAGTTCAAGTTAGAAGGCAGGTGTTGGGGGAGGGGTGGCGGCTGAGGAGTGGGGGTGGGGTGGGGGCGCGGCCCGGTGTGTGTGTGGGGGGGGTCTCTGCTCCGCACCCAAAAGGATTTTGGATAGGCGCAGCATCCCTGAGACCCCCGGGGTTCCGCCCCAGAGGTCCCCCACTCGGGTACCCCCACTCCCCCAGCCCTGGAAGTACTTCTGAAAAAAGTCCGAGCCGCCCGCTTCTAGGTGCTAAGGGGCCCTGGAGGGGGGGGGGGGTGGGAGGCCAGGTGAAATCCACACGCCGAGTCCTTAATCTGTAATTGCACCTTTCAGGGCTGAACAGGAAGGGACCCTCTGCCCGCGTCCCGCTGCGCGCCCGCCGGACCACCGCCGCCGCCGCCCGGCTCCGAGGGACCCGCCGGACCTGCCCCTTCCGCTGCGGCTCACTCTGCCTGGCCCGGCGCCGCTTCTGGATCGCCGGCTTCTCATTCCTACCAGACTCGGCTCCTCAACACTCACTTTCCCATCCTGTTCCAGGTGCACCCTAACCTCCCTCCCCCGGTAACACCCCCCTCCCCCAAAGCTCTAGCTTGCAGGGAAACATTTGAGTCCTCCCTGGAAGTGGCCCCGGTCATACCTCTCTGTAGCTCTCCCCGCTTCGTTGTCTCGCCACCCCCATCTTTTCCTAGCCTTTCCCCTTCTTGTTCTCCCCCTTTGCTTCCACCCCCCCCATCTGCTTATTTCTTGCAATGGGAGTTTTATTCTTTATAAGCGTTTGCCACAACCCCCCCCATAAGTCTCCCCCACCCCACAACAACCCGAAAGACAAGAAAAAATGCAGGCAAGGTAGACCCAAGGCCAGAAACTTACCTGCTGTCAGCCAGATGCAAAGTCCGGGCTCACTTAAGCTCCCCCCAAAATCAATTGTCCTTCCTTTTTAAAGGTTTGCTCTCTCCTTGGGAGGGGAACACACCTTCTGGCTCCCAACTCCAGGCAGTCACTCTGTACAATTTATTTTGTCGTACATCATTTGATCACCATGAATTAGCAACAGCAAGAAAATATAGGAGAGGGAGAAAAGAGAGAAAGAGAGAGGGAGAGAGAGAGAGGAGAGAGAGGGAGAGAGAGGGAGCAGAGCTTTCTGCAAGAGAAGAAGAAGAAAAAATGTACGTGTGACAAATTATGCTACCAAGAAACAACACATCATTATCCTTGGGCCTGGGGCTCAGTGAGTCGTAACGAGAGTAATAGGAAATCCACGGTTGGGGAGAGAAATGGTCGTGCTTGGCCAGTAGAGAGAGACCATACAGGGGGATGGATGCTGGAGAGACTCGCAAAATTATGGCTCAAGGCTATTGTAAAAATTGTCGAGCGTAAATGACTGCGATTTCAAACATCTTTGGAAGAAAGAAGGGGAAAAAGCGAGCCCCCCCTCCCTCCCTCTCCCTCTCTCTCCCTCTCTCTTCTCTTCTCTCTATAAAGAACCGTCAAGTTTTAGTGCGCATTGCTAATTAGTCAATTTCTCTCTGCCTTCACAGGCTGGCGACTTCGCTGCTGAGCTGAAACTGCTAATTTCTGTGACCAGCTTTTTTCTTAGCTGTGATCTGGATGAATGAGTAGCTGTCTCACAGAGATGACAAAAATAAACTCTAATCCCCCCCAAAATTTCCACTACATCTTTCTCATGCATAGATTTATGATCTTCAAGCGCTCTGTGCAATATGCAAACTTTTTTGTGTCTGTGTACATGCTGTTGTTTGCAGCTTCCACAACATCGGTATGCTGGCTTTTCCCTCCCACCCCCCTCCAGCCCCCACACACTCTCAAATGCAGACGCTGTCTGATCTCAAAGTCTGCTAGGATGCCACTTTAGCCTGTCTTGGTATCTAGGGTGTGGGATTGACTTGGAAGATACCAGTTCTTGCCTGGGAGTGCTGAGGACACACACCGTGGGTGGGGGAAGTCGAGCTGGGAGAACAGAGGACAGGCCCTTGATTTTTCTCTCTGTACCATTCAGGCTTTATGTTCTTGTTGTAAAGCATATTTTTCTCTTATTATTTTTGTCTGGTTAGACAACCTCTTTTGAAGTTCTCTGTCAGCTTTTGACATGTAAGAGTACAGAAGCCACGTTTTTATTAAAACATTAACATATTGTCAGATTTGTATTTCAATTAAGAGTCGTTGGTTTGCAGGAGCTAGTATTAACTGTTAGGGGACCCAGCTGCACTTTCACAAATATAACCTTTCAACTCCAGAGTTCACTTGATAAATAAGGGCCATCCCATAGGGTTCACACTGGTGACCCTGCTTAGCATTCAGAATGAACCTCTGCCCATTTCTAGGACTGTAGCTGCATCAGAAAGGCATGAACATTTGGGTAGAGGACTTGTTCTCCAGACTTATCTCATGATGTACAGACCCTCATTTAAGTTGTCAAAGGGAGCTGGAGGTGTCCAAGAAAGAAACACACACACACACACACACACACACACACACACACACACACACACGGGGGGGGGTATGACAGAAAAAAAGAAAGATATGCCCTTGAATAAAATGAATATAAAAGAAAGCTGGATATGAATTAAATTGAGTTTTGTTTGTCGATAAATGTTTCACTCTAATGTGCCCTGGTTAGTAAACTTATTAAAATATATCACCCAAGCGTTATCTTTTTTACACACCCCCCTTTGATTTGTGAGAGATGGAAAGACACCTGCTTAAGTGGGGGGGGGGCAGGGGAAGGCTGCAACTTAAAAATAGGGAAATTCCCAGCTAGAATGGTAACAACTGACATGCATATGGGATGTTTCCTCAAATGAATGAAAGGAAAGAACCAAAGCCCTTACAAGGGCCCTTTGCTGTCCAGCTTCCTGGGTTACCCAAGAGGAAGACTTCTTTATTCAGATGGAGCTGAGATCCAGCATTCTCCTCCCATACTTAACAACAAAACTGAATACATAGCAAGACAAAAAGCAGATTCCTTTTGTTGTCATTGCTCTTTTAGGACCAAGGACAGGAAGAAAACACATTCAAGTTACCTGGTTTTACTATTTCCAAAATCCTCTTCATTTTGAAACTTCCCTTGTGTGGGTCTTGCTAAGGAAGACCACATGACTGTGACACTGTGCTTTTCAGGGGCTCTATGTCATTAAGAGTTAAAGGCACTAAATATGTGAATGCTAACTAAATTTTCATGCATGCAGAATGCATGCTCATTTTATGTTTCCTGTTGGTCTTTTATAGACTTCCAGTAGATACTTGGAACTCAACTCAAAAATGGATAATGATGGATCACTTAAATTACAGCCTTCTTCACATTGCATCAAAGGAATTAATGTAATTTTGTGGGGATCAAATTCCATTTCAAATTTCTTAATTCTTTTTATTACTATATATATATATGTATATATATGTGCATACATACATATATACATATATAGTATATGTACATATACACTTCACTAATTATGAGTGTTAGAGTCTTTGTTCTTCTCAACAGCATAAAAAGCACATTTTAAGAATGACCTGTATCTATCTGTGATTTTGTTTATCTGACATCTAGCTGGAAGTGGGGGGAAGCAGCGGTGAGGACTCCTCATTGTGAAGCAGGTGTTGAGATGAAGTGCTTGGCACATTTTTTCCTGCATCTTAAAGTTACCGAATTTGATGATGTTTAAACTTTCAGAGGGAAAATAATAGGTGCAGCTCTTCTACAAGCAACCAAGAATGCCAAAGCCAAAAAAACTCCTCTCATACTCTGTACGCAAATGAACATGTATATCATGTAAACCTTATACCTCTAATATCGGGCATAGGCTTCACTGCAATGGTTGCTGGACCCACAAATGCAATGACACTATTTACAATAAATCCTGTTATGAAAGATTCAATTTACAGCAATCAGATGGTAGCTACTAAGCGATTGTAACTATTTGAATTTTATCCTCCTTCACTGTTCAACATACAGAAATTGCATCTGTGTGTTTGATCTATCCTGCTGAGCCCTATCAGCGGCTCGCAACTCTGCCACTATTGTTTTT